GGAATGCCTTGAAAGAATTGTAATTCATCTGCCTCTTTTGGTCAACCCAAATCACTCTGCTGCATGACTTCTGCCCTGATGAACAAGAGGCTCTGAGGGGATCTTACTCATGTGCATAAATATCTGATGGGACAGTGTAGAGAAGATGAAGCAAGACTCTTCTCAGTGGTGCACACTGACAGGATGAGAGGCAGTAGGCACAAACTGAAACACAAGAAATTCCATCTGAATGCAAGAAAACTCTCTTTACTGTGGTTTAGTGTGACTGGTTAAATGATGGCACAGGTTTCCCAGGGCAGTCATGGAGTCTTTGTCCCTGGAGATACACAAAACCTGTCTGGGCATGGGCCTCAGTAATCTGTCCTAGCTGCCTCTGCCTTAAGCAAGGTGGTTGGAAGAGGTGACCTCCACAGGTACCTTCCAACTTTGATAATTCTGTGGCTCTGTGCTAAACAAGGCAGGTTATAGGAGATACAGTTTGGCCAGGAGTTTCACTAAACCACAATTTCCCTAAGGCTTTTGTTCATTGAAGTGTTTGAATTTCCATTTAGATTTTCATTACCAGATTTACAGTGTACACACACAACATTTGCGGGGGTTTATTAGCATGAAGTAAATGTTTTCCTGCTGCAGTACTGAAGTGGAAAGATGTGAGAGATCATAAGTGATTCCAGTGTATGGATTTACCTGGATGTTAGCTTTAACACCTGACTGCCATGCAGGTCTGAATTACTGGCTAAACACATGTAGACATAGCACCACAGACACATGACCACAGGACAATTGTCACCACCATATGGTCCAACCTGGCACCTCTGGAAGTTGCAAATAGTTCCTATTCAGCAACCTATTAAGGCTCTTTGGCCAGGCTGAGGAATCATGGAAGGCATTTATGTATTTTGCTCTTCCAATAAAGAAACCTTATCTCCGTGGCCTGCCCACCTGTCCTTGCTTATGGTGGCAGAACTGAAGGGGAAAGATATTTGCATAGCCCCTGCTTCCTGAGCCAGCTGAGGTTCATTGCAACAACAGTAGGCCATGGTTGGTACACATTTTGTGCTGATGATCTGATTTCTGACAGTAAAGTTAAGATGGGACTTGTATTTCTGAAGAAAAAGAACTGTATCTAGCTGAGTTTCAACGTGTGTCCATGAAATACATTTTCTATTCTATTTTTCTGTTGATAAGCTATAAGAATATCTTTTCTGTAGGAGGCAAAGTGATCCTGGAACTGACTTGAAAACTGCCTAATTATTGATTAATGACTCACTAGATATTTTCTGCTATCTGCTATAAATATAGGTGCTAGAGTGTCTTATGGGAGAATATATTACACTGGTTTTAGAAAGTATGAATTCTCTCTGATTTTGCTAAGTACACAGAGTATTGAGCTTTAGATTATGATTAAAACCACAGTAAAATGAATACAAATGTATTTGTAAAGATGCTACAACACAAGTGTTTGGTACTGTGTATCTGGCTTACCGAAGTCTGTTAAAAAAATCACCTCTGTGAACACAGAATGATCCAATCATTTGAACACAAGGTGGGGATCTAAAAGTTTATATCTTCTAATTCATGTTTCCATAGATGTGGGACAAGAGGAGTGACTTGGGCATCTGCCAGTCCAGAAGAGTTTGAGTTTCCCGTAGATCCCATGCTAGATAGGTCAGCCTCATGTGCTTGTTCCTGATAACCTAGGACATTTATTATAAAACTAGATTTTTATAGTTAGGTATCTCAATCATTCGTTAATCTCCCTTTTCCATGGTTTAATTATCTGTAAAATGGAAAGATTGCATTTTTTTATACCCAATTAGCATCTCTATGGTAGTGGATGAATGAATGAGTTGGAAAGACCCTGAAGTGGCAAGGCACTAGCAAGAATATGCTGTAAGTATTTGTGTGAGAAAATATGGTGAGTCTAGTCCTTTACTCTTCTATGAGCAAATTAGCATTTTTATAGGGGCAATGACACCAGAATTAGTGGGATACAATAGTGAAGACCTGTTCTGCCAACTCAAGCAAATCAACCACAATAGATCTGCTCCACCAAGTGGAGAGAGAATACAAAAAAGTAAGGAACCAAAACATGTTCCTGTGTTGAGTTTCATGCTTGTTGCAGCAAGTCCTTTGCCTGAGGTAGGCAGACCTGATAGGGAAGAAAGTAGAAGATATTTGAACCTACAGGGAAAAAGAGTGTGTTCTGTTTTCAGCAGTAATTTCTGATGAAAGTGAGTTTTTGAGGAAATGAATGTAATAGCCTGAACTATTCATAGGATGACAGACGGGTTTGGATTGGAAGGGACTTTAAAGCTCATCCAGTTCCAACCCCCTGCCATGGGCAGGGAAACCTTCCCCTGGACGAGGTTGCTCCAAGCCAGTCCAGCCTGGCCTTGAACACTGCCAGGGATGGGGCAGCCACAGCTTCTCTGGGCACCCTGTGCCAGGGCCTCACCACCCTCATAGTGAAGAATTTCTTCGTTATGTTGAATCTAAATCTCCCCTCTTTCATTTTAAATCCAGCAAGGCACTGTGGATCTGTACAAGGAGCTGTTCCCCTCTTCCAGCCGTCTTTTACATCTTTTCCTGTCCTCCAGCTGTGTTTTATATCCTTCCTGTCCTCCAGTGTCTGGGAACTTGATGGGTTGTATCTTTTTGCCTAGCTTTTTCATTCCTTAATGCAACACTGATTTCTTCAGTCAGAGCAAATTCACAATCAAAAAAATTTAGGGTTTGTCCCTATGCTTAAGTTCTGTCCATCAGAAAACATCTGGAACTTGTCCTTTTGAACAAAATACAAGAAATAATCCATAAGTAAGTCTGAAAAATTCATCTACACTCTCAAGCTCTCATCTCTACTTCAAGTCATGTTTGTGTCTTGGCCCACCTCCAGCTAAATGAAGGCTTAATTTAGAAATTGGCTAAAAAAGGCTTGAATCACAGCAGAAAGTAGAAGTAGAAAGTGTAGACAATGATAGCTGAATATCTAACTTTCCTCCCTTATGTATGTATATTGTACTGTAATTATGCCTTCTCTACTTTTTTGCTTTCTGTCCTTCAGTGCTGGAACATTACCTGTCACATTCCGGTGCCTTGAAGAAAATCTAGGCATTGATAAGCGTGTAACAAGGTTTGTTCTTCCTGTTGGAGCAACTATTAACATGGATGGAACTGCCCTTTATGAAGCTGTGGCTGCAATCTTCATAGCACAGATGAATGGAATTGAGCTGGATGGAGGTCAGATAGTTACTGTGAGGTCAGTCCAAAATACTCATAGGCTTTGTTTCTACAGATTGTAAAATGTGAAGCTTTGGGTTGGATGTCTTGTCAGTAGCTGTGGGATTCACTGTGAAATCCATGGATTTCTAATAATATATTCAAAGGAATGTCATATACATAGGTCTTGGCTCTCTGGTGACATGCCTTTTCTATCATTTGCAGCCTTAGTGCATGCTGGTGGTGTTTTACACAGTTTTGCAGTTGACAATGCAATGGGAAATCCATCATTCTCCATCCAATGCAATGCCTTTTTAGTGTAGAGAAATGCTACAAGTGATACATGGGGCATTAACTCTCTAGACTGTATCTGTTTATATGCATTGAAGGGAAAAAGTACACCTAAAAATGTATCCATGTATTTATGTTTGCCTGCATTTTTTCTGTGACTTTGATGAACAGCAAACAAACTGGCTGAGAATAGCCCAGTCTGAGGATGAGATTGTCTGCAGTGTTGTCTGGATACTCCCAGACTTTTTATCTCTAACCCAGCAAGTACTAGCTGTAGTCTTTTCATATCAAATTGTCATATCTAAGTCTAAGCTGAATAGCTGGAAGGACAAAGGAAAATAACTATTGAAAATGGATAAATGATGGAAGACTGTTTACTGTAATGGAATTTTAAGACTTATTAGGTAGAGTGACTAATAAAAAACGATGGCAAAGTTATGACTGCTGCAGCTAAAGTTAATTTACAGTGGAAAACTTGATGAAGACACCAGGCCTAACATTTTGAATGGTTACAAGGGAAAACACAAGTGAAAGCTGCCAAGTTTGCCTTCTTCCTGTAGTTTTCATGCACCCACCTTTCTTTTACTAAACCCTTTTAACACTAAAGAAAGTCCTACAAAGGTATGTCTAATTCTCTGTTTCTTGCACAGCTATATTAGTTCCACATTTTCCTTTTTGGTTTTTTTTGACTTCTTGCCCCAACCCCTGAAATAGTAAAGCCAAGGTTTGTAAAAGGTTCAGGGCTGCTTCTAATGAAGGCAGATACTAGGCCTGCGTGTTATGAATTTGCTGCTAAGACTGAAAACAATAATTTCAGACTTGTCACATATTAAGCTAAATTAAGACTGTAGAAATTCAAGACAGGAATCGGCTGTTGTCCGGGAGATTTGGTAGGCTTGAATCCAAGTTACTTCTCTTCATAGAATCATGGAATGGTTTGGGTTGGAAGGGACCTTAAAGCTCATCCAGTTCCAACCCCCTGCCACGGGCAGGGACACCTTCCACTAGAGCAGGTTGCTCCAAGCCCCTGTGTCCAACCTGGTCTTGAACACTGCCAGGGATGGGGCAGCCACAGCTTCTCTGGGCAACCTCTGCCAGTGTCCCATCACCCTCCTCTGAAGGACTGATCTGTTAGCTCTTCCTGATCACGCCATTTCAAGGCTGGTATAGCCAGCTTTGTGACTCATATTTACTAAGCAGGTCGCAACTTTGGGTTGACTGTAAGAAAACAATTGGTCCTCCTGTTCACGCTCTGTACCGTTTTTGCTACAACAGTACCACAAGAACTGTCTCTTGAGGTGGCAATACAAATGAATGAAAGGTTGTTAGGTTTTTTCTTTCAAATCCAGTCTATGATACTGAGGATATTCACATGACCCAGACCCAGACACACAAGGACTTAACTAGCCTTTGACCTAGCCCTAGTTACTTCATATTTGTCATGTAGCATCTCTGATTTCCTGTCTTCTTTGGTGGACGATGATCTCTAAAATGGTAGCTAAGCCAGACTGGTTAGACCTTAACAGCGCTAGCATCATTCCCCTCCAGGCCTTTAAGTGCTGCTGTGGGAAGGTTGGAAGCAATCCCTTACCAGTTCAAGCTGGAAGCGCCTGAGGAGCTGGCACTGGGTGCAAAGCCTGACTGCGGAGCAGACCATGCTGCCTGTATATCTGCTGGACCTACCTGGGTGTTCAGTAGGCCAGGTTGTGCTCTAACCCAGACACCTGATAAACACACCACAACCTGGATTGTCTAGGTCAGCCCCAGCCATCTGCCAGGCAAAAGATTTCAATGTCATAACCAACTTACAGAGTTCAATCTCAGACAACTCTCTTACAAGTCTCAGAACAAACCCCATAGATCTGGCCTTCCCAAATAAACATTTTTGGAGAAATAGAAGCATGAAAACTGTGGCCTGACATTACCATGATCTCTCATATAGTTACTAGTTTTCTGAGAAGGACTCGTTTAAAAGTAAAACCTTCCTAATGAGCACATAAGCAAGCAATGAAAGTATATCTTCCTCTTCCTGCTACCCACATGTGATTTTTGGTTTTGCAGTTTGACTGCCACCCTTGCAAGTGTTGGAGCTGCCAGTATTCCCAGCGCTGGACTTGTGACTATGCTGCTAATCCTTACTGCAGTGGGTCTCCCTACCCAGGACATCAGTTTGCTTGTTGCTGTTGACTGGCTTTTGTAAGTTATGATGACTCCATTGCTCAGGGCAGAAAAAGTGGTGAAGTAATGCTTATCCATTGTGCTTTTCAGCTACTGATCTTAAAGAACAATAAGATTCTTCTCTACAGGTAAAGCAAAGGAGAAAATAGGTTATTTGATGAAACGGAAAGCAGCTTCTCAGCTGGTACAAATTTTTTCAGAGCTACTGAAGTCAGTTTCTATGAGACAAGGATGTTCTTGTGAGACCCTTGGGCTCATGTTTACATACTTGCTTCTTCCTAATGATGCCTCTCCTTCACAGACATAGCTCAAGAGCAGGTTTCTGATCTTTGCTTTTATATTTCTGTTTCTTATAGTTCTGGTCTAAAAAAAGGACGAATGCTGAAGCTGCAGGTTCTGTCAGGATGTTGTCAGAAAGTTACAGGGTGATTTGGGCATTTGTAGAATCAAATATTTCAGTGAGGGTGGGGTTTTTTGTTGTTTTGGTTTTTTTTTTTTTTACATAAGAGGTTAAATACTTTTAAAAAGAAACTGTTCTAGAGCAGGACATAAACCAAAGACAAATAAAGAAAACTGAAAGAGAGAGGTCATTCCCTAGTTTGATTTTACTGACACATCCCTCAAAGTGGGAAGACTGGCTTTCATTTTCAAGGATATGAGGTTAGAGCCCTTCAGTGTCATTGCAGGTCCTCTGATAGTTTCCCAAGGCTTTTGTTTTTCAACAGTTCAATACAGAAGCTGTAAATGTAGAGCATATGCCAAGCCACAGAATTTCCCATGTCATCATTTGGTAACCTGGATGTCTTTCTGTCACCTGTGCAGAGCTGACAGGGACATAGTAGTCCTCTAAGCTGTATCAGCCTCTAGAGGCTTTTATGTTGTCCTGTACTGCTGCAGCACAGTATATTCTGGTCAACAGCCATCTTGCCCTAATATTCTTTTATGCAGTAAAGACAGATGTTTCTGCTGTGCCAGCTGTGGTGCCCAGAAGGGAAGGTGTAAGTACCACTCTATGCTGTTCGTGCATCTCCTCCTATGCCAGCAGCTTCAGCTGCCAACCTGTGGTAGCTTCCAGTCCAAAATACACTACTAAAATTATGCAAGAAGGAATGGCAGAGTTAAGAATGTGAAGATAAAATAGAAAATTAATTTTCTGTCATCTCTTTGGCTTAATGAGAGGAATTTAAGATGCTGATCAATCCTCTGACATGTATTTTGGAGCTACTGTTCTATTCTGTTATTACCTATTTGTCACTAAGAGTTAAGAATAGCACACAGATCCAATTTCTGCTTCAGGGATAAATGAAAGAGGAGTTTAGTGCTTGGGAAGACAGAGGGAAAAGATTACTTATATATTTTATATATAACTGAATATCAAGATATCATGACTCAGAATGGTGAAATGAGGCAGGGTTCAGCA